CAAATTCAGGTCAATGGCACCTGCTTCCAATGGGCGTGAACAATTACACAATTACAAGGCATTGTAATATGTACGTTAGAACGGGGATCCCCGTTCCCGACATGGTCATTGACTGAAGAATAGTGCGACGCTCATGGTCACTGCACGGAGTCACAATCAACCTAGTCTAAAAATTCTCTCAACCTGCCTGTTGCTCTATTTCACAGTACTGATGATGCTCCAGACTCGTACCCAGTCTGACGATGCTCCTTTGGATGAAGTCTGCAATTGATGCCGCAGTCATGCCAACTGGTCAAAGTGTCCGACTAAGTACGATTTCTCAACAAGTAAGGTCCTACTCTACCTCCCTCGTCAACTACGGTGGTGAGGAGTTAAGGGGTGCTGCAATCCAGCGAAAGTTATTGACATTACAATGTTTAGAGTGTTACGGAGTGTCACATCGGAGATAGATGTCAGTGTCCCAACACCATGTCAACAGGGAAAGCCCCATAAATTGTGCGTATCAACGTTATCTTTCAAGGTCTCCCACATATCCACCACATCAATTTCCAGCACAAATTGCGACAACACTGTTGCCAAGGCTTTCGCGAGCATTTGTTCACTGAATGATTTCTTCGGGATGACAAATACGATCTTCCATTGCCACGCCCCCTTGTGTTGCTCCTGCAGCACATCCCAAAGCCTGTTAATGTGAGGTTCCTTGACTGGGTGTCGTGGAGAAATCATGTACTGAAACATGACAACACCGGTGATGGTGTGGTTCTCATCCCTTTCGAAAGCGAACGAGTCGATACCAGGCAGGTCCCCAGGAACCGGTCGGTAGTACTTGGCAGCATCCAGACAAGGGACCTTATCCACTGGAAAACCGGAGAATGCCTCCACCTTCTCATTGTCGATGTGTTCCAAATGGAATAGTTTTTGTTGCCGTCTTCGAGTCCTAGTACGTGAAGGGCAGCTTTAGTTTTTCTGAGGATGTAAAAATGCCCGACAGTTTCGAACATCAGACCGGCTGTGGAGGGTGTAGAGGGCTCCCTTATATAATCGTAGAAGTACTGGGCCAAACTTTCAACCACTTCCAATCCTTTGTTTTTCATGAGCTTGTTGAAAATAAAGAGGGAAATCACCTGCGTGCTTGGTCTTAATCGACAGACACGACCATTCTCGTCTTGGAAGGGATTGACTTCTGCCAGATGGTGGTGATATTTCTTGGCTTCGTGTTCACCGCTTGCTGGAAGAGGGAGATGGAGTGCATCCCATAATAGCCGAGTCGAGGTCGATATCTACCTGCTCTTGCGTACGATCGAGTAACTGCCTCGCCGAACCCCCATACCTTATGAACGCAACATGCCAAGCTTCATCGTCAACCCTCTGCTCCTTCGCATAACCGCTGGAGAGATGAGCACTACTAGGCATCTACCTACACAACTGGCGGCTTACTGGGATACACACACTTCTTGCCAGCTCCATCTTTTCATGTAAAACGTGTTCGGACTGTTTTTCCTTGCCCCTCTTCTGGCTCGGACGACGATGCTACCAAGATCCTCCATCGCTGCTGCAGCAGAGTGTTGACCTCCGCAGCCGAAGCAAGATGAGAGAGAACAAGGCCATCCAAATCGGCTCCTTCAGCTACGGAGAGCTCGGGATTCGCCAATGTAGGAAGGAATCATTGGAATCATGTAAACACCAGATTCGAGAAAGGCGAAACGTATCAAAGGTGACTTGGAGAGCACGGTGAGCTTTCCTTGTGCGAGCCGATTCAGGAGACAGTGCGTCGAATAGACAGCCTTGCCTTTAAGCAAAATCGGTCTGCGCCGATGGAACCCAGCGATATCTGATTGTCTCTGCTCCTCCACGAATGCATCGAGCTCGTTGTATTCGTTCCGCACATAAAAATCTCATTTCGAGCACCTCGGATATATTCCACGGCACGTTCGGGATCTCCATCAGGTTGTAGAACAGTGCTCCAGTTTTCGCCGTAGCGTCACCCATCGTGACGTCCTCTGGCTTAGATTCTTGAGATTTGTTATTGAGATCATCAAGGTCGGGTACGTGGATCGAGGAGCGAGTAATGAGTCCACGCAAGCGACCCTCATTTCCCCAGAGGTGGTTGCGGATGATGGCCAAGCCGCCGTAAAGTGGATCCTTCTCAGTGATAAGAGAGACTGTTGGATAGGCGGAGCATACTGAGAAGTCAACAATGTGTGAACAAAGAAGTATTGCGCATCTGTATTGGCCGTCTGTTTAAGGACTACAGCAAAAATTGGAAGGATTAGCTGAGCTGAACAGACGAAACGATATGACTCACTACGCTGCACTTTGACTACCACATGGGCCTGGAGTCTTGTCCAAAAATGTCGTTTGCTTCATCATCAGGACCATCAAGAGGATCTTCGTAGTTATACTACCCGTTGCTCTATCAATAAGCTTTCCATCGCCCCTTATCGTCAAATTATCAGGCTTCTTTGGATCAGCACAGCATTCTTCAGACTGGAGGGCCTACCCACTTACCTTGTACAAGACAAGCGCGCCGACATTGTACTCGTCACGCAGCAGCTTGTGCTTCTCATAAATTTTATCACGGAGATCCCTGACAATTCTGACACCCTGAGACATTGGACCTAAGGCAAGGCTGTCGGGACAGATGACGAAGTATGTTAGACGTTTCAGAGATTGCGGTGTGGTTGACTTGATCACAGAGGTCGGTGGGACGCGACGAAGTTTCGAAGATTGCGGCGTGGCTGACTTGATCATATTGAAATTATGAACTAACGTCGTGTAACCGCTCAGTTCTGGATACGTGAACTGAGGAGAGAGAGAGAGAGAGAGAAATTTTGTCGTGGCTTTTAAAGCCCATCGCTCGCTGAGAAGTCTAAGTCTTGCACGATCTAAATTACAGGGAAAGCAAGGTGGATTGTGAAACAGTTGGCCAGACCTTGATTAATGGTGAAGTTGTGATCAAGAGACACAGTATACTGACGCGTAATAAAGTTCCACGACTGCGTCCATCAGCATGGACTCCAAAAACGGAAGCATCGGGCAATCCTTCAAGGAAATGTCCGTGCGCAATTAGAAATATAGTCCAACGGACTCAATGGACCGTCCACAGCGTACCAAGGAACAAGAAACTTCAACAGATCACGGAAGTCGGGTGGGCACGATGACGTTTCAGGTCCTAGATTCGGTTCTTTTTGAGAAGCGGAACCGGAATCGGTTCGGCAAACCGGAACCGAACCAGTGACGTAATGAACCGAAACCGAATTGCATTTCGGTTCCGTCCCGGTTCGGTTCGGTTCGGAACCATTTGAACGTTCTATCTGGAAAGATGTAACCTTTGGTCCATGGAATTAGGTTGGTGTCCGACACTTCGAGTGTGTGTAGTTAAATTTCCTTTCCAATTTTTTTTTCAACCATCCCTAAATGCGTCCGACCCTGATCTCTACTTTATGCATGTACTTATGCGCAATATCCAACGTGGTTGGCTACAATCCTTCAATGGTTTTGTGGTTCGGTTTTGGTTCGGCCGGTTCACGGTTCGGTCCCGGGTCCTTGCATGGGATAGGGGAGATGGATGCAATTGCACCATCATTGGTACTGTTAAGCGTCTTGGACTGAAACGAGTTGCTCATGCTTCTCAGTAGTGCCTGGGTCCACTTTTTATCAACTGATCGTTCTTGCGCCCAAGGTTGCTTCGTTCGTATGACTGTACCGTCAGCGAGGAAAATGCTTTGGAACTGTATGGAGGCCTTTGTGAGTTTACAACGCCGGACTTGGTCCACCCATCTCTACCGAAGATCCACAGTCTGCCAGGACGGTACCATTTCCGCCATCGCGCAGTATTGATGGGCAATTAGCGGGCCCGCACGTGCGCGCGTCGAATCCGCGGCCGTATGCAAGTTCCTAACTTGAAGCAAGGAAAAATATGAACAATTTCCTTACTGACGGCTTTTTTTCGGCTTCAACGTTGTCCTACCTGTTATGTCCACTGTACAGTACATCATGTGAGCAGTTCTGCCGCCGAACGTCTCCTAGCTACACTCACACGATGTCCGAAAGGCCTCAGCCCCCAGATTTCTCTCTCAGTTTACTAGGTCGCAACGCCCTTCTGAGCCTCTTGATGATCAGCCGCGGACTTCCATCTCTCCTGCTTCCAGCATCCGGATCACTGTTTCCGCGACTGCAAGCGACGTATCGGCTCACAGAGATCACCATGGTGATTCTGCAGGATCACATCCTGGTATCCTTGCTACTACAGCGCCTATTCTTTCGCCTTCTACTGGTGCCTCAGGGGATGATGTCACGAAGCAATCGACGTCTTTTCGAGACAGGATCTTTGGGCGATTGAAGAAAAGCCCTAGCCCCGATCCCAATCGTCTCAACCAATCAACAATGTCGATCTCGATCATCCTATGTTGACTACACCGCCCAGACATCCACGAACGACCCATGGCCATCGCTGTCTCCCCTTCCCACCGAAGCGACTACTGATTCGTCACGAGTAATTCCTAGCGCAGAGGGAGAGGCTTCAGATGCCAGGTCGTCAGTTCCAGCTGCTCCATCGGGCCCGGCGGCACCTCGCAGATCCGATGGAGATCCGAAGAAGATGATCATTGGGAGCACTAAAGCCCTCCTCCGAACCGCGGCCACTGCTCTCAGGCTCCTCCTATCCCAAATCTTGATCAGATCCCAAACGCCCTTTTGACAGGGATTCAAATCTATGAGGTTCGAGAATCTTGAAGATCTCGATGGTGGTCGTCTTTTATATCTGGTTGCAGACTGTACCCAGTCGTCGTCGCTCCGTGGACGCGCACTGCGCACACGCAATTTCAAGTTGGTTTATATTAAAGTCACAGTCACCTTACATGATGCATGAGTAGTCATCTTTTGTATTGAACCCTTAAGTCACATGTGCGGAAATAGAGTTAAACCCGATCACCTACTCCGAAAACCAGCGCGCGACCTTCGCTCCAACGACTGGCACAAAAGTTGGGTGGCGGTGTTTTTCGGCAGCATCCGGGACTGAATTGTTGAGTCCACACAACTTGTGCGCAACAGATTAGGTTGTAGTCCGGTGCATTTTTAGTGTCAACTCACATAAGATTTGTGCCGACCCACCCAAAGGGTATGAAGGGCTGCGGAGTCAGTAACCTGAGCATGCAGAGAATCTAAGCCTTATATATTACTTTGAGAGCATTACTGTGTTGGTGCGAGTTAGTGCAGATGGTATAGCGTTCGCAGAGGCTATGCACTTTTTTGCTTGCTCGGGTTCGACTCCATTTGGTAACTTCCTTTTTTCATTCATTCCTCATTCTTGGTGATGTATACGGAAATTTGTCGCATGTATGAAAGGGGTGATGCATGAAAAAAGGAGGTTACCAAGTGGAGTCGAACCCAAGCAAGCAAAAAAAGTGCATAGCCTCAGCGAACGCTATACCATCTGCACTAACTCGCACCAACAAGTAATGCTCTCAAGTATATATAAGGCTTAGATTCTCTGCATGCTCAGGTTACTGACTCCGCAGCCCTTCATACCCTTTGGGTGGGTCGGGCACAAATCTTATGTGAGTTGAACTAAAAATGCACCGGACTACAACCTATCTGTTGCGCACAAGTTGTGGACTCAACAATTCAGTCCCGGATGCTGCGAAAACACCGCCACCAACTTTTGTGCAGTCGTTGGAGCGAAGTGTCGCGCGCTGGTTTTCGGGTAGGTGATCGGGTTTAACTCTATTTCCGGCACATGTACTTTAAGGGTTCAATACAAAAGATGACTATCATGCATCATGTAAGGTGACTGTGACTTTTAATATAAACCCAACTGAATGCGTGTGCGCAGTGCGCGTCACGGAGCGACGACGACTGGGTACGAGTCTGATCTGGTTGCATGCATGTAGAATGTTAGCGGCAACACCCAGGATCTCAAACAGTTGTGCGAAGTGATCCAGCAGGCGGCAAGTCGGTGTTTGAGCCCCTCCAGACTTGGACTGGAAAGATTCCTCCGGAGCTTGAAACCTTAGTGGAGGAATTCCACGTGTACGCATCTCATTCTTCCCTTTTGCTCACATTCACTTATTCTCTTCGTAGGGCATTGCAAATACAAGTAGAAGACATTAAATTAGTTCAAGAAAAAAACATCGTCGAGAAGACCATTCAAACGTCTAATATAACACAGCAAATAACCAATATGAAGAACTGCCTCAATGATGCTATCCGTCGATTCGAGGTTTGCGTGCCCGACATTTTTTGAATGGTCAAATTCTAATTTGTCATGTTCGCCACAGCTGAGATCATTGACTTTAATTCTACTTCGCACCGAGCACGCATCGGTTCAATGTACGTGTCTGTGTACAAACCTGTGAATTGCCTATTTACTAATGCTCCTAGCCGAGATATCGAGACTCAAGCGAGCCCCGGCCGAGCATATTTACGTAAAAAGCAAATCAGAGTGCCTACCGGGCACACGACTCAAGATTCAAGAATCCATACTCGAGCACCTGAAGAAACCTGAGAACCGATTTGTTTGGCTACGGGGGTCCCCTGGGACAGGGAAGACCGCGATCTCCATGAGTATCGCATCCACTCTAGAGCAGCAGGGCGCACTGGCAGCGTCATATTTCTGGGACAAGAACCGGAGAGGATCGGGCTTGGATTCTATTGAACAGTTTCCCTCTACCCTTGCCTGCCAACTTGCATCCCTCAACGAGGACTTCAAATTGTCGCTCGTCAGACAACTTCGGAAACCGGATTTGGCCTTGTTTCAGGAATTACCTCTAGAAAAACAAATCAAGACTCTGGTGATTGAGCCTATACGTAACCTGAAGGACATATTCCCTTCGGGTACGGATCGTTTCGTCATCGTTTTGGATGGTCTCGATGAGTGCGGCAATCAGGAGACCCTTGAGTCCTTGATGGGGCTGGTACTTGGTCTTCAGGAGCTTCCGCAGGCATTTTCTGTGCTAGTTAGCTGTCGTCCTGAGCCAGGAGTCATTTCAGCTTGGTTTGAAGCTCAACACGAGGGTCTTGTTATACCATGTGAAGATGTGGATAAGATAGAGTACGATGAAGATTTCCACACAATTTGTTGTATTGTGGAGGATGGTCTTCGGGATGTCATCAGAAAATCTTCATGGAAACCAACAGAGTGGGAACTTAATGATTTTGCCTGGGCTTGCCGTGGGTTGCCTGTTATGGCATCAATCCGAGTTCGCGATGTTTGCCAGCGGACACGGCGTGGTCGTACTCTACAGTCGGCGTTTCAGGGCTTGCGTAGTGTCACTGGTACACCCACCGACCTCAATCAGGAATACTTGCGAATCCTTCGGCAAGCCTATGTGGTGGATTCAGCTGGAATTCCCCCAGATATATCCAAGATGTATCGCTTAGTAGTCACCGCAATTCTTACGACGTATGGGCTGAGGGATGTGTCTTCCATGTCGCAGATGTTTGGGTTTAGCGAGGATGAGATCCGTGCGACGTTGGAACCAATCAGCTCAATCATAAATCTTCCCTTGGACAATGCAGAGGATATCACCTTCTATCACGCAACGGCAAGAGAATTCATAACCGGGAAACCAATCGGTGATGAGAAAGACAAAGTGTTTTTCATCGATGACGTGAATGGGTATCTCCTTGGATTGCCGCTCCTTCGATATTTCAACAATTGTTGTGAGCAGAACGTGTTTGGGATACCCACGGATCCGCGTTCCTTAGGAGAAGAAGGGAAATGGGAGGAATTTATGGTGAAAAAGAAGGATTATCGCAGCCGCTTCGACTACGTTATTTACCACTTAGCCGACCACTTGGACCCTTTGCAACTTTTTTCACAAGAGTCCAATGAATTGCAAAACGAGTTTAATTCCTTCATTACACGAAATTATGTGTTAATATTCGCGCACTTGCAATCCCACATGGAGGAGACATGGCATGGAGAGATATTTCCTGAACAATTACTTCAATTTAACGTGAGTATAAACTATCTGTCCGATGCATTTCTAATTGATGTGGTGTCATCTTCGATGGAATCACGATTCAATCCAGCTTCTGAGAGATTTACATCAGGTAACTCAGCATGCCGAGGACCATCCATGGAGGTTCTATCGATCGATTCTCCCTTTCGCCCCACCCTCTGTTTACAAACAATATGGCCATCTCTCTGGTGTCCGGGTTTTCTCTATTCATGGAAAGTCTGATGACACGATCCCATTAAACGAAGATTCGTGCAGGGCTCAAGAAGTCATGCACGCAAAGTTGACTGAAAGGGTTCGCCAATGGGGACAGGAGATCAGCTACAAAGCTGAATTCTACCAACCTGATATTCGCAATGGCGTTGTGACCTGTGCTGCACTCTCCCTCGATGGTCGCTACGTTGTACTTGGGTTTGGCAGCGGTGTCATCGAAGTCGTCGATATTGACCATCAGCGTCCGATCTGCCAATTGCAGCATAATCCAGCCAATCTCCCTAACTGGATTGAATTTGTATACGGTAGCCACAGGGTTGCTACTGAGGATATTGATGGGAACGTCACAGTTCTCAGCCATGGCATCGCCCCAGTGAAGCTTGGCAATCTTCCTTCTGGTCTCTATCCTGCTGAAACCGCCATCTCAGATAATGGATTATTTATCATACGAGCACCACGAAATTTCGACAACCCTTGGTGCGATAACATGACACTCATAGCTGTCTCTGAGTATCCTTTCATCCGGCTCCTCACCTCTCCTTCGGACCTGTCTGTCCCATTCCCGTCCTCCCCATCCACCCAATACCGCAATGCAACCCCCTTATCTAGGCCTCACCGACGGACGCTTGGGTTCTCTCCAGGTGCACGATATGTCGGCGCGTTTGACGGGTTCAGCGCTTTCACATGGTCGACACAATCATACGAGCTTATTGCATCTTATCGTGTGACCAACCCCTTTTTTTGGATTATCAATCCCAACGTCCCTCCAACTCACTTCCATCTCGTTCCAAATCCTATATTCACTCAAGCCACTTCTTTATTGGTGGAAGACGATACAGCTTATGAACATCGTTCTGAGGATGCAGGGTGTGACTCTGAAGATGAGTCCTGGATCAAGCGCCCGTTTTATGACCTCTCACCAAGCAGCCACCGAGTATGGGAGGCCGAGTCCACTTCCTCTGCAACAAGGGAAAACCCACACATCTGGTCCCGATCGGTGATGTTTAATGGCAGACAAATACTTGAGCTTCCAGAGGAATATGAGCCGGTTACTTCTTTGCTAGCATGGTACGGTCACCGAGTGCCAGAATGTAGTTTGGAGTCATACCGCCCTCAGTCCAGCAGGGATGGAACTCGACTTCTGGTCCAGGGCAAGTCAAAGACCCCAATTGTCATCGATATTAGTCGGGTTGTTTAGCATTTATCAGTGCACCCATTTACTTCCTTGGCTATACACTCGATGCCTTTGCGCTGCACCGCTGTGTGAAATTGTGGACAGTCTTTGAAGCCTTGTGTGTCATGTACTATTCCTTTAACGTAATGTATAGAATACCATTGTTGGTGGTGACGGGGCTCCGGCGTTCCGCATAGTACAGGAAGACGAAGCGCCAAGACTACTAAGGCCTAAGCTAGATCAAATAAAATAGTGTGATCTCTCGAATAAATATTCAAAGCAACGTTGTTGACTAAGCTTATGACGCGCGCACGCACATTCGAGCTGCTGAAGGAATCCATCGGTTACATCACCTAAGATTTGATACGTATAATTGACATCCACCTAATCCCCTTCCCAATATGCTCCCTAGCCACGCTATTGAGATATGGGCACGCCCGGCCGCCCGAACGAGTAACGACTGGGATGAAGGAGGCGGGGAAAGGCTGGGAATACAGCACTGAAGGAAGGATCCAAGAAACTTGCCAGTATACATTTACAAGTGCATCGGGCTAGTACGATGCGTATGACTACAACTCGAATCATAGATGATGAGTGTTGAGACGATGTCACTGGATGCACGTCAAGCCGTAATTCATATGATCGTGTCCTAGAAATGTCATCGAATGGGCCATTTTAGGCACTTCCGACTAGAGTCGAGTGCCGGTATCGGACTCGGGGAGACTCACCTCAACGTCTCGCTGGTGCTCATGTGGCTTAGGCTACGCACGCATCCCAATCGTGTGATCGAGGGTCTCCAACGCTTGGAGGTCCTCAGGCATGTCAACCATTGTGCTTCGCTGAATGTTCCACTCCCATCGCCTGACCTGCAAAAACCCAAGGAATGAAATGATGAGAACGAACCACCCCAGCGTAGTCATCATGATGAAGGAGAACAAGTCAAAGGAAATATTCATCCTCATCCGGTTCACTCGGGTCATGGGTTGTTGAAGTGCTGTTTCCGCTGAAGGGACAGTGTTGGTGACGCTCAATATGATGCTCCGGACAGAGGCGGAGACCATTCCGCTTCCAGACCGCCCCAAGTGGCGTCATCGTCAGCCAAAAGGACGACAGTGTCTGGACTTCGGATATAGAAACCATGCTGAATAGGTTGGTATCAAGACCGGCTGAGCTTCCAAACAGGTGTGGCAATGGTGTGAGATGAATTGGAACGACAAGACAACACCAATAAGAACACGCTCCTGCAACAGGAAGACGCTTGATAATCAGGTCGGGCCGCTGGGCGAAAGAATAATACTGAGAAATGGCGACCATTGGCGTCGTGTGGTAAGAATGTAGCTGCCACTGGGATCCAATTTTACGCCATGGGTTAGAATACGAATGATAGGATACTTGCCAGTGGCGCATCTTTGTGTTCCTGGGGGATTAACGCAGATCATTAGCGAACACACTAAGACTATATCAGGCGTGAGGCGATCACAACCAAGATCATCAAGACGGTTTGCTGACTTCATAGATACTGATACAAGCAAGAAGCGTGTTGGGGATCTGGTCAAGATTTTTGATGGGGTGAACTTGAGAGCAGTGGCTGCGGCTTGGAGCAGGAGTTTGGTGCTGGTGACGATTGTTTTCTTTAGATCACTAGAGCTACGAGATGCGGATCCCACAGGGACTGATGTTCCGATATCTGCAGGTTCTTGATGCGTGCGGACGCTTGTGCTGTTGTTCTGGATGTAGTGTGTTGGGGGCATCGCACGCGGACCGTCAATTCTCATTTCGGTAATGAGTGAAGATAGCGGCGGCGACGGATCGGGAGGGATCTGGGAGTGGGGAACAGAGGGCCCAGAGATGGAGGCCTGCGGCGGATTGTTCGAAGGCTTTGAAGCGCGATGCCAGTGGGAATTACGATTTCTGCGCATGGTGCTAAGTGCAGCGGTGGGTTGAAGTGAGCGTTTGGCAGCAAAGCGCTCAAGAACTCTCACAAGATATATGTGTAAACTGCATTGTGGACATAACAGGTAAGATAACGTTGGCCGCGCGGCAAGTAATGAATTGGCTTCTTGACATTCGCAATTCAACTGACTTGTGGAATGCCTTCGATCAAATGCCTTCGATCAACGGCGTAACGGTCTAAGCTACTTGGTAGAGATGAAGTGGACCGAGTTCAAAGATGACATTGCGCACTCGCATAAAGATCTTTCTCACCGACTGTGTCGTGATGCATGCATGTAATGCCGAACCCTCACTCAGCTGTAGACGGCAATGCTAACAGCCGTTGAAGGTATTTAAATTTGGTGCTGGGCACGTAAATCCAAACGTTTAGAATCCAATAGCACTTCCACAGTCGACTCGGAGTTCAGCACTAGCAGGTCTAATGCGCAGAGGTGATACCTCTGTAATGGCCGTCTCTAGAAACTCTATGGATGAAACGTAAACAGAGTTGTTACTCGGGCGGAGGCGGTATCCTATGCGCATGATAGGTACCGCGATGGTTGCCCACCTAGTTGGCCAGCCGAAAGCATTCTTGAGCTCCAATATGTAAAACAAACTGAATAACGGTATGAGTTCAAGGGCAAACAACACGAAGAGCTAGAATGACTGAGTACGTAGCTCAATACTAATACCGGTATGAGCGAAAAAGGGAACGTCCCAAACGAGGTCCTCTTTCGTCTCAACCATTGTGCCCTGCCGAACGTTCCACTCCCACGTCTGACAAGCCAGAAATCCACGGAATGAAGTGATGGGAACGAATCATCCCAGCGTCGGAGTCATTAAGGAGAAAGGGGCAACGAATTAGCCCACTTAGTTCGCTCAGATCGTGAATTGCCATGACCGAAATGCTGATTCCCCTGGAGGGACAGTGCTGGCAACAGTGAATATGCGAAGACGGATGCTCTGGACAGAGGCAGGTGTCACTCCGTTCCCTAGGCCAACCTGCGCACCCCAAGAAGCAGCGGTCAGGCCATCAGGAGTCACGGGGACGACAGCGTCGGAACTTCTAATGCAGAAACCATACCGAATAAAAGGTGATACGGCTCGACTGCCAAACTTGGCTGCGCACATGGTGTGAAGGAGGGATGTGAGAAGGAGGCTAACAAATTGGAATATTGACACCAAAACAAGGAGGTTCCGCATGAAAGGAAACACGCTCCCAACAGGAACGATCTCGCTGTCCCTTAGACCGCTTGGTGCAAGAGTGGTGTTTCTCTACACCGAGGAATAGCGTCCGCTTGCGCCACAAGGCAAGACTGTAGCCGCCGAGATCCAATTTGAAGCACAGATTGGAATAGGAATAGCCAGACACACCAGAGACGCGTCTCTTTGCGCGTCCCCGAGACCAAGGCCACCACAAAAAATAGTAGGTGGGCAGGACAGTGCCGAAGGCTTTCAGAATGACCCAGGTCATTGAATCGCTGGGAGAGTTGGTACATTTACACAAGATAAGAAGTATTATAAAACTAGCGTAATATGCTCAGTTCTACGTGAACTAAATGTGATTGAATATGGGTACCTAGCGTGATAAATGAGTCAATCTGAGATGCTATCTCACCTCAGTTCCGTTGTACGTGAACTGAACAAAGACGCAAACGTCAAAATTTCTGCTTTATAAGCAAGTGCTCTGAATAGAGCACAAGCTTGGTAGCAAGATATATAGGTAACACAATCTGCCGGCCTCAACTCGTCATGGCGTACGTCGATAACCAAAAAATTCCACAAGAAGTACGTGATCTCGCACCTGAGCTATAGCCACCGATCCTATGTAGCCCCTGTGAGTTGGATCCTGGGTAGTAGGTACAGTTTCTTCCGGAACAAACAAACATCGCCCAACGGTACTCACCCTTTTCTCACGGGTCTCCTTAACTTGCCTCGGGCGACGTATCCATATAGCCCACGACCAGTATACTCCATCCAATGGAGCATTCTTCAGGCTACTGTAGTTGTTTTCTATGGGACACATGAGCCTTTTCTCTGGGCCTACCAGCACGCTTGCCAACTAGTTGCCTTCGGTTCCCGTCTCTCATTCGTCATCACCCACCGGATCTCCAAAAAAAGCATCAAAAAATAAAACGACCTCCTGGTTTCTGACCCCTTCATCGATATGGACGAACCCTCGCTTTTTGCGGTGCTCTTGATCTTCATGCTCATTTGTTTTTAACCTTGGTTTCTATGTCCACACTTCGCACTCCAGTTATGACCAGGCCAAAATCTTGCTTGGCATTGCATGATAACCGAAACACGACCACCCTACAATGCCCACTCCGATTTGCTATATTGCAGCATTGGGATGTTCCCCCAGCCTGGACTTTGGCTCTGCGCCCACATCCCGCTTCCGGTGCATTACGTTTCTGTATGCGAACAACCAAGGTCACTCCCCGCTGAGACCCATCATCTATTAGATGGGACATTGCTCCATCGAGCTCATGCATGTACTAGTTCTATCTTTACATTACCAATTTTTCAATAAAGATACTGGGCACACAGGGTCTCGCCGCACTTGCTGACACACCGAGATTTGGATTCAAATTACTCGATCGTCCCACCTAAATTTCGGCTGGCGACACCAAAGACCTCACGTGTGCCTTCGTCCAAATGGTCCCCTTCTACGTGCTGAGTGACGGCAATTGTATTATTGGGTATCTGATGAACAAGTCATGGGGGAGTAGGCTACGGATGCACTGCTCTTACCTTGCAAGGAAGGTGGGACAACTCTATTGAAATCCCGTTCTTTCCTGGGTCGCTCAAGAGTTTCGAGCGCGAATGTAAACTGGTGTGAAGGAGAGGGAAGTCAGTATACGAGACTTTGCTTTGAAGACAGTTATGTGCATTGCTTCGTGACAGTATACGCACTTTGCTAAGAGGGATGTAGTATAGACGCCTCCGAGCACCTAGGGAGTATTACTAAGGCCAAGCATCTGCATTGAAAGACAGGTTTTACTCACAAAGACGAAAATCATGGGGATAAATTGGGGGCTGTGGAACGCAACCTGCCCCGAGAAAGGCCGTCAGGATTACACATCAGAAAAGTTGAAAAAAATAAACATACAGAAAACATGGTAGCCAGCGCCAGAATGCTAAGTTGGGGAAACAGAGGAAGCTTAACCTAGTTCAGTAACGACAACACAAAATCATACCCAGTCAGCAGGCCGGTGCTGATGGCATATGCTGTTAACTTCCGTAACACTGTATCCATCCTTTAGGCAGAAATACATTCATTTAGGTCTACGAGTCAGATCAATCACTTACCGCCGAAATCCTGTGCGACGCTTCTGGAGGAAATATGACATAGCGAAGGCAATCACGAGATCAGCCACTGCCTTTGAAGGAATGTAAGCGAAATATCCTGGTCAATGGGAACGCATACCTCTAGTGTTAGCCACGATATAGTGAGTGGGTGTTTGGAAAAGAGTACGCTTTCGAGACCGTGAGTAACATTTCTGTCAGGTGAGATGACAAGAGCCTATCAGTAGAAAATCGCTGGTTTAGATGGATGGATCCTCTTACGCCTGAATAAAGAGCACTGTATGCAGCACGCGCGGAGTGCAGAGAATTTCAGAAGTGATTTAATCCCACAATTTTGCACCTCACCAACACCGGTCCCTAGGTCGAGATAATCAGACGCTCGAAAAAAACATTATCACTCGGATCCGCTCACCAAATTGCGCCAGAGTTAGCAAAATCTGTCCATAAGGATCCCGTAAGAAAGGAAATGTCTGTAGGATGAACGGTGATGACATACAAGCGATATCGGTAGCCAGATCGATCCACTGACTGGACACGATTCAGATGGATGTCAAAATCAAGGACTACCGGAGGGACTTACGTCGATAGAGTCTTAGGACGAAAAAAAATTGAACGATGGCAGAGCAAATAACCTAGTGGAGCGAATTATGAAAAGGTACATAACCTCCGGTGTACCTCGGACCGGGGTTGAGTGAAATAATGACCCTACCATAGATAACTGGTAGAAAGTATCAAACCTGTCGTGGGACAAAGTCACACCCAGTGCGATGAGTCTACGGGAGGGCCTACCATTTTATTAAAACCGGCTCCCCAGCATGTTCAACAATCCATATGTACACGTAAAGCGAAGTTATCCTAGACAAACAGCAAGTCATTGACAAATGTATCTGACGCGGCTTTTGGCTCACACTTGAAACATCTGCACGAGCCTGAAAGTGGAGTGCGCAGTTACCCAACCATCATTCAAATGTAAACTACTCGACTGGCCAGCACCCACCATAAGAATCCGATGACGGTCTTCTGAGAGATATGGTCCTTGGAAAACCTTTCGTAATAGAGAAAAGTCTGGATGGTAATTACACCGAGGAGTCTATTGCAGGAAGGGAAGAACGTGAAGTTCATTTGCGTGGGCGCCGGGAGATGAAGGAGCGAAGATGTTATTATCCACAAAGACAATTGTCAATGTCATCGACTACGCACGCAGCCTGGAGTACTATCCCGGAAAAGGCACCCACAGCGATGGATTTGAAGTGGGACATACCCATCACTGGCCATGCCATTTGGTGAGGTAATCTGGGAATGGGAAACGGGAATGCTCAGCCCAACCCAACTGCGTAGACTTGCTACGCGCTATAAACATCCTCGCTGTTCGGCAATCGTAGCTGTTGGAATCTATCATTATCTATGAGTCACCGGAACCTTCCGGAATGTTCTGGATTGTCGTGGGAAATCTTTTCGCGCTTGCGTGCGCGCGCTTACATTCGCTGTACATATAAATACGCAAGACGTGCGTTGAGAAAAATCATCAGTAAAAGTAGCATACCTCGGTCTATCGCGAGCTGGAGCCGCTGAGCAGGGGATTGCCATATCTGGAAACCTCTCAGCCTAAGGGTCACATCTATACACTCGGATCATTGCTCAACTCTTCGATTCAGTTGCTCAGCTTTTCACTTCAGTTGCTACTATGGCTTCATCAAGGGATGATGGAATTTCTCTCAGCGGATACGAAATCCCTGCTTTAACCGGCAAGGAAACTTTATGTAAATCGAAGTAAATTGAAAGGAAATATACATTGACCCCAACTCACATGCCTGTAGCAGTGCAAGTTGCGCGAATGTTAACACATAATTTCGCGTAGTGAAGGAATCAAACTCGTATTGGACTCTTGTGAAAAAAGTTGTGAAGGGTTTAAGCTAGTACATGGTCAAATAAGTAGTAAATAACATCGGCTGTGATAATCCTCCTTTTCTGCCATAAATTCCTCCCATTTTCCTTCTTCTCCTAAAGAAATGGGATCAGTGGGTATCCTAAACACGTTCTGCTCACAACAATCATCGAAATGTCGAAGGAGTGGTCATTCACGTTATCGGTGAAAAATACTGTCTTTCTCATTACCAGTTGGATGCCCTTCATGAATTCTTTTGCCGTTGCATGATAGAAGGTGGTCTCCTTTGCATTTTCCATGGAAAGATTTATGATTGAGCTGATTGGTTCCAATATCGCGCGGACGCCATCCTCGCTAATCCAGAATATCTGCAACATGGAAGATACATCATTCACCCCATCCACCATAAGAATTGCGGTGAACACTAAGCGATACATCTCGGAGGATCCCAGCTGAATCCACCGCATAGACTTGCCGAAGGATTCCTGATAGATGTATCAGTGATACTACGCAAGCCTGAAACGCAGACCGTAGGGTGCGACCACGCGATGTCTGCTGGCAGATATCGCGAACCCGGATTGACAGGCAAGCCAGGGAAAAATCACCAAGTTCCTACTTTGTTGGTTTCCATGAAGATTTTCTGATGACATCCCGAAGACCATCCTCCACAATACAGCAAACTGCGTGGAAATCTTCACCGTACTCCATCTTGTCCACATCTTCACATGGTATAACGGGACCCTCATTGTGAGCTTCAAACGCCAAGCTGAAATGACTCCTGGATCAGGACGACAACTAACTAGTACAGCAAGTGCCTGCGGGAGCTCCTGAAGGCCAAGTACCAGCCATCAGGGACTCCTGATTCCCGCATTTATCGAGACCATCCAAAACGACGACGAAGCGATCCTTACCTGAAGGGAATATGTCACACATTGGCTCGGTCATCAGAGCTTCAATTTGTTTTCCCAGGGGAAAATCCTGAACTGACTCCAAAGCTGGTTGCCGAAGGTGTCTGACGAGCGACAATTTGAAGTCCTCGTTGAAGGATGCAAGTTGGCAGGCAAGCATGAGATGCGATACCTCATAGTGATCGCGGTCTCCCCTGTCCCAAGAGACCCTCGTAGCCAAACAAATCGGTGCTCAGGTTTCTTCAGTGCGAAGAGGCAACACCTCTGCAATGGCCGTCTCTAGAAATTCTAGGGTGAAACTCAAACAGAGTTACCCGGGCGGAGGAGATATCCTATGCGCGTATGTAAAACAGACTGAACAACGTTGGGTTAAGTGGAATTATGAGTCCGAGGGCAAACAACAAGGATGAGCGAAAAGGGGAACGTCCCAAATGCATACTTGAGTGTCTTCAACATTCGAGAATGTCGCACGAGGTCATCTTTCGTCTCCGAAACCATTGTGCCATGCGGAACGTTCCAGTCCCATCCCAGCGTCATCGTCATTAAGGGGTAACGAAATAGCCTCCTTGTTTGGTTCGCTTAGATCGTGAATTACCATGATCGGAATGCGGATTCTCATGGCAGGAGGGACAGTGCTGGCAACAGTGAATATGCGAAGAAGGATGCTCCGGACAGAGGCAGGTGTCACTCCGCTCCCTAGGCCAGCCTACGCACCCCAAGAAGCAGTGGTCATGCCATCAGGAGCCACGGGGACGACAGCGTCGGGACTTCTCATACAGAAACAGAAAACCTACAAAACCCCTCTGAGATTAGCGCAAAAGGAAATATACACGTGATCATGGCCGAACATGAAAAATGAAGGGAATTGATTTAGAAACCAGCCAACGACCATTGCCTACATGTGACGTTATTATGTAATAAATATTCATTGCGTGCGGTCTCATCGTCCCCTCCCTGTTATTCCCCAACCCAACCCAATTACCAAACTAAAATTATTAATTACCATTACAGCGCTTGTGTATTGTAGAACGTGCTCGGAATAGGGTTTGTTTAGTGCAATTAGTGTAGCATTGCTTATCGGTGTTATATATACATTAAAGTCATCCTCGTGCAATAACTGTGGCAAAAAAAAATCCACCAAGAATGCATCGAACGTGCACAAGCAGGGGGGAGACAGGGTCATGAACAGCGCTATAATCCATTAGACCAAGTAGACTTCACATGGATCCGGTCCTAAAAGTAATATATAAAGTGTTAATTTCAGCCACGGATCCGGGGTTGATCACGAAGTCAAAAGCCGCCCAATGTACATTTTTCATGACATTGATCACCCCTTGGAATTGAAGTTTTTCATCTTAAATGTTTTCTAAGGGAGAAAAAAAGAAACACCATACAGGACTCGAACCAAGATCCATCCCGACGCAGGATTGAAGAGAATCCGGCATCAGCCGCTAAGTCAAACCGCCATCGCTAGGGATCTTGACCAAACCATATATATGTACAGTCAAACTGGCCTCACAATTCCCTCGCCCCCCTTCATCCACTATTTTTTTCTTACTGCATACAACTTTCTGTTCCCTTCCGTTAAATGCCCCACAGTTATGAAGGCGCCCGGGCCCCTGCCCGTGCGTCTTCACGCTTGCATCCTATTCATTTCCTTCATTGTAATTGGCGGATTCAAAAAAAATATCATCATTTTCATATTTGTGTAAATTCATCAAACACGTGATTTTTTGCGCTCATCTCAGAGGGGTTTTGTAGGTTCACTTACAGAAACCATACTGAATAAATGGTGATATGGCCCGACTGCCAAACTTAGCTAGTTGTACGATCGGGCGCGCGAACACATACACGCTCACGACTCCTTTCGACTGGTTGATGTCTGTGCTAATAGAGGCTGGCTGCCTATGGTTGATGCCATAGTGCGTGGTGTTAGATTAGTGGCGTTGAGTGCCGAAAGTGATTTATGATCTGGCTGCTGCAAATGTTTTGCTATAATGGAGCCGAAGCTTTATTATGTGCGCACTCCAAGGATCAGTCCCGTTAACTTCTCAATTCAGACGACAGTTCCAAATTCAGGTCACCCAATGACACCTGCTTCCAATGGAGGTGAACAATTACACAATTACAAGGCATTGTGATACGTTAGGATGGCGACGCTCATGGTCACTGCACGGAGTCACAATCAACCTAGGGACAATGTGCATTCCAATACTACCGTCCGAGTCACTATTGAAAAGCAAACCAATGATGCCATAATGATCTAAAAATTCTCTCAACCTGCCTATTGCTCTATTTCACAGTGCCGACGATGCTCCGATGAAGTCTGCAATTGATGCCGCAGTCATACCAACTGGTCAAAGTGTCCGACTAAGTACGATTTCTGAACAGGTAACTCTACCTCCCTCGTCAACTACGGTGGTGAGGAATCAAGGGGTGCTGCAATCCAGTGACAGTTATTGGCATTACAATGCTTAGAGTGTTACGGAGTGTTACATCGGAGATGTCAGTGTTCCAACACCATATCAACAGGGAAAGTCCCATAAATTGTGCGTATCAACGTTATCTTTCAAGGTCTCCCACATATCCACCACATCAATTTCCAGCACAAATTGCGACAACACTGTTGTCAAGGCCTTCGCGGGCATCCGTTCACTGAACGATTTCTTTGGGATGACAAATATGATCTTCCATTGCCACGCCCCCTTGTGTTGTTTCTGCAGCACATCCCAAAGCCTGTTAATGTGAGGTTCCTTGACTGGGTGTCGTGGAGAAATCATGTACTGAAACATGACAACACCGGTGATGGTGTGGTTCTCATCCCTTTCGAAAGCGAACGAGTCGATACCAGGCAGGTCCCCAGGAACCGGTCGGTAGTACTTGGCGGCATCCAGACAAGGGACCTTATCCACTGGAAAACCGGAGAGTGCCTCCACCTTCTCATTGTCGATGTGTTCCAAATGGAATAGTTTTTTGTTGCCGTCTTCGAGTCCTAGTACGTGAAGGGCAGCTTTAGTTTTTTCGAGGGTGTAGACATGCCCGACAGTTTCGAACATCAGACCGGTTGTGGAGGGTGTAGAGGGCTCCCTTATATAATCGTAGAAGTACTGGGCCAAACTTTCGACCATTTGTTTTTCATGAGCTTGTTGAAAATAAAGAGGGAAATCATCTGCGTGACCATTCTCGTCTTGGAAGGGATTGATTTCTACCAGATGGTGGTGATATTTCTTGGCTTCATGTGTCACCGCTTGCTGGAAGAGGGAGATGGGAGTGCATCCCATAATAGCCGAGTCGAGGTCGATATCTACCTGCTCTTGCGTACGATCGAGTAACTGCCTCGCCGAGCCCCCATACGTTATGAACGCAACACGCCAAGCTTCATCATCAACCCTCTGCTCCTTCGCATAACCGCTGGGAGAGATGAGCACTACTAGGCCTCTACCTACACAACTGGCGGCTTACCGGGATACACACACTTTTTGCCAGCTCCATCTTTTCATGTAAAACATGTTCGGATTGTTTTTCCTTGCCCATCTTTCCACCTCTTCTGGCTCGGACGACGATGCTACCAAGATCCTCCATCGCTGCTGCAGCAGAGTGTTGACCTCCACAGCCGAAGCAAGATGAGAGAGAACAAGGCCATCCAAATTGGCTCCTTCAGCTACGGAGAGCTCGGGATTCCGCCAATGTAGGAAGGAATCATTTGGAATCATGTAAACACCAGATTCGAGAAAGGCAAAACGTATCAAAGGTGACTTGGAGAGCACGGTGAGCTTTCCTTGTGCGAGCCGATTCAGGAGACAGTGCGTCAAATAGACAGCCTTGCCTTTAGGAGCGTGATTAGTCGCATTGTGCAATGACAATCCAGCACAATCCCACGTACCTATTCCAGGTTGTCCAACAAGCAAAATCGGTCTGCGCCGATGGAACCCAGCGATATCTGATTGTCTCTGCTCCTCCACGAATGCATCGAGCTCATTGTATTCGTTCCGCACATAAAATCTCATTTCGAGCACCTCGGATATATTCCACAGCACGTTCGGGATCTCCATCAGGTTGTAGAACAGTGCTCCAGGTTTCGCCGTAGCGTCACCCATCGTGACGTCCTCTGGCTTAGATTCTTGAGATTTGTTATTAAGATCATCAAGGTCGGGTACGTGTATTGAGGTGCGTAAGCGACCCTCATTTCCCCAGAGATGGCTGCGGATGATGGCCAAGCCGCCGTAAAGTGGATCCTTCTCAGTGATAAGAGAGACTGTTGGATAGGCGGAGCACACTGAGAAGTCAATAATGTGTGAACAAAGAAGTATTGCGCACCTGTATTGGCCGTCTGTTTAAGGACTACAGCAAAAATTGGAAGGATTAGCTGAGCTGAACAAACGAAACGATATGACTCACTGCGCTGCACTTTGACTACCACATGGACCTGGCCCCTACCCGAGTCTTGTCCAAAAATGTCGTTTGCTTCATCATCAGGACCATCAAGAGGATCCTTCGTAGTTATACTACCCGTTGCTCTATCAATAAGCTTTCCATCGCCCCTTATCGTCAAATTATCAGGCTTCTTTGGATCAGCACAGCATTCTTCAGACTGGAGGGCCTACCCACTTACCTTGTACAAGACAAGCGCGCCGACATTGTACTCGTCATGCAGCAGCTTGTGCTTCTCATAAATTTTATCACGGAGATCCCTGACAATTCTGACACCCTTAAGATCTAGAGACATTGGGCCTAAGGCAAGGCTGTCGGGACAGATGACGAAGTATGTTAGACGTTTCAGAGATTGCGGTGTGGTTGACTTGATCACAGAGGTCTGTGGGGCGCGACGAGGTTTCGAAGATTGCGGCGTGGTTGACTTGATCATATTGAAATTATGAACTAGCGTCGTGTAAGCGCTCAGTTCTAGATACGTGAACTGAGGAGAGAGAGAGAGGGAAAATTTGTTGTGGCTTTTAAGCCCTCCACAACTGCGTCCATCAGCATGGACTCAAAAAACGGAAGCATCGGGCAATCCTTCAAGGAAATGTCCGTGTACAATTAGAAATATAGTCCGACGGACTCAATGGACGGTCCACAGCGTACCAAGAAACTTCAACAGATCACGGAAGTCGATTGGGCACGATGATGTTTCAGGTCCTAGATTCGGTTCTTTTTGAGAAGCGGAAGCGGAATCGGTTCCGGCAAACCAGAACCGAACCAGTGACGTAATGAACCGAAACCGAATTGCATTTCGGTTCCGTCCCGGTTCGGTTCGGTTCGGAACCATTTGAACGTTCTATCTGGAAAGATGTAACCTTTGGTCCATGGAATTAGGTCCCGATGGGTTGGATTTACCAGGTGTCCGACACTTCGAGTGTGTGTAGTTAAATTTCCTTTCTAATTTTTTTTCAGCCATCCCTAAATGCGTTCGACCCTGACCTCTACTTTATGCATGTATGCGCAATATCCAACGTGGTTGGCTACAATCCTTCAATGGTTTTGTGGTTCGCTTTTGGTTCGCAATACCCTAAGAGAACCGGAACCGAACCAGATCCGTGGTTCGGCCGGTTCACGGTTCGGTCCCGGGTCCTATGCATGGGATAGGGGAAATGGATGCAATTGCACCATCATTGGTACTGTTAAGCGTCTTGGACTGAAACGAGTTGCTCATGCTTCTCAGTAGTGCCTGGGTCCACTCTTTATCAACTGATCGTTCTTGCGCCCAAGGTTGCTTCGTTCGTATGACTGTACCGTCAGCGAGGAAAATGCTTTGGAACTGTATGGAGGCCTTTGTGAGTTTACAACGCCGGACTTGGTCCACCCCATCTCTACCGAAGATCCACAGTCTGTCAGGGCGGTACCATTTCCGCCATCGCGCAGTCATGATGGGCAACTGGCGGGCCCCGCACGCGCGCGCGTCGAATCCGCGGCCGTTATGCAAGTTCCTAACTTGAAGCAAGGGAAAATATGAACAATTTCCTTACTGACGGCTTTTTTCGGCTTCAACGTTGTCCTACCTGTTATGTCCACTGTACAGTACATCATGTAAGCAGTTCTGCCGCCGAACGTCTCCTAGCTACACTCACACGATGTCCGAAAGGCCCTCAGCCCCCAGATTTCTCTCTCAGTTTACTAGGTCGCAACGCCCTTCTGAGCCTCTTGATGATCAGCCGCGGACTTCCATCTCTCCTGCTTCCAGCATTCAGATCACTGTTTCCGCGACTGCAAGCGACGTATCGGCTCACAGAGATCAACATGGTAATTCTGCAGGATCACATCCTGGTATCCTTTCTGCTACAGCGCCTATTTTTTCGCCTTCTACTGGTGCCTCCTCAGGGGATGATGCCACGAAGCAATCGACGTCTTTTCGAGACAGGATCTTTGGGCGATTGAAGAAAAGCCCTAGCTCCCATCCCAATCGTCTCAACCAATCAACCAATGTCGATCTCGGTCATCCTATGTTGACTACACCCGTCCAGACATCCACGAACGACCCATGGCCATCGCTGTCTCCCCTTCCCACCGAAGCGACTACTGATTCGTCACGAGTAATTCCTAGCGCAGAGGAAGAGGCTTCAGATGCCAGGTCGTCAGTTCCAGCTGCTCCATCGGGCCCGGCGGCACCTCGCAGATCCGATGGAGATCCGAAGAAGATGATCATTGGGAGCACTAAAGCCCTCCTCCGAACCGCGGCCACTGCTCTCAGGCTCGTCCCTATCCCAAATCTTGATCAGATCCCAAACGCCCTTTTGACAGGGATTCAAATCTATGAGGTTTGAGAATCTTGAAGATCTCGATGGTGGTCGTCTTTTATATCTGGTTGCATGCATGTAGAATGTTAGCGGCAACACCCAGGATCTCAAACAGTTGTGCGAAGTGATCCAGCAGGCGGGCAAGTCGGTGTTTGAGCCCCTCCAGACTTGGACTGGAAAGATCCCTCCGGAGCTTGAAACCTTAGTGGAGGAATTCCGCGTGTACGCATCTCATTCTTCCCTTTTGCTCACATTCACTTATTCTCTTCGTAGGGCATTGCAAATACAAGTAGAAGACATTAAATTAGTTCAGGAAAAAAATATCGTCGAGAAGACCATTCAAACATCTAATATAACACAGCAAATAACCAATATGAAGAACTGCCTCAATGATGTTATCCGTCGATTCGAGGTTTGCGTGCCCGACATTTTTTGAATGGTCAAATTCTAACTCCTCATGTTCGCCACAGCTGAGATCATTGACTTTAATTCTGCTTCGCACCGAGCACGCATCGGTTCAATGTACGTGTCTGTGTACAAACCTGTGAATTGCCTATTTACTAATGCTCCTAGCCGAGATATCGAGACTCAAGCGAGCCCCGGCCGAGCATATTTACGTAAAAAGCAAATCAGAGTGCCTACCGGGCACACGACTCAAGATTCAAGAATCCATACTCGAGCACCTGAAGAAACCTGAGAACCGATTTGTTTGGCTACGGGGGTCCCCTGGGACAGGGAAGACCGCGATCTCCATGAGTATCGCATCCACTCTAGAGCAGCAGGGCGCACTGGCAGCGTCATATTTCTGGGACAAGAACCGGAGAGGATCGGGCTTGGATTCTGTTGAACAGTTTCCCTCTACCCTTACCTGCCAACTTGCATCCTTCAACGAGGACTTCAAATTGTCGCTCGTCAGACAACTTCGGAAACCGGATTTGGCCTTGTTTCAGGAATTACCCCTAGAAAAACAAATCAAGACTCTGGTGATTGAGCCTATACGTAACCTGAAGGACATATTCCCGGATCGTTTCGTCATCGTTTTGGATGGTCTCGATGAGTGCGGCAATCAGGAGACGCTTGAGTCCTTGATGGGGCTGGTACTTGGTCTTCAGGAGCTCCCGCAAACATTTTCTGTGCTAGTTAGCTGTCGTCCTGAGCCAGGAGTCATTTCAGCTTGGTTTGAAGCTCAACACGAGGGTCTTGTTATACCATGCGAGGATGTGGACAAGATAGAGTACGATGAAGATTTCCACACAGTTTGTTGTATTGTGGAGGATGGTCTTCGGGATGTCATCAGAAAATCTTCATGGAAACCAACAGAGTGGGAACTTAATGATTTTGCCTGGGCTTGCCGTGGGTTGCCTGTTATGGCATCAATCCGGGTTCGCGATGTTTGCCAGCGGACACGGCGTGGTCGTACCCTACAGTCGGCGTTTCAGGGCTTGCGTAGTGTCACCGGTACACCCACCGACCTCAATCAGGAATACTTGCGAATCCTTCGGCAAGCCTATGTGGTGGATTCAGCTGGAATTCCCCCAGATATATCCAAGATGTATCGCTTAGTAGTCACCGCAATTCTTACGGCGTATGGGCTGGGGGGTGTGTCTTCCATGTCGCAGATGCTTGGAGTTAGCGAGGATGAGATCCGTGCGACATTGGAACCAATCAGCTCGATCATAAATCTTCCCTTGGAGAATGCAAAGGATATAACCTTCTATCACGCAACAGCAAGCGAATTCATAACCGGGAAACCAATTGGTGATGAGAAAGACAAAGTATTTTTCATCGATGACGTGAATGGGTATCTCCTTGGATTGCCGCTCCTTCGACATTTCAACGATTGTTGTGAGCGGAACGTGTTTGGGATACCCACTGATCCCATTTCTTTAGGAGAAGAAGGGAAATGGAAGGAATTTAGGGCGAAAAAGAAGGAATATCGCAGTCGCTTCGACTATGTTATTGAACGCTTATTCAAGCACTTGGACCCTTCACAACTTTTTTCACGAGACTCGAATGAATTGCAAAACGAGTTTGATTCCTTCATTACACGGAATTATGTATTAACATTCGCGCATTTGCAAGACCACATGAACGAGACATGACGTGGAGAGATATTTCCTGAACAATTACTTGGATATAATGTAAGTATAAACTATCTGTCCGATGTTTTCGTGATTGATATATCTTTGATAGAACCACGATTCAATCCAACTTTTGAGAGATCTGCATCAGGTAACCTGGAACGCCGAGAAATATCCATGGAGGTTCTATCGATCGGATCTCCCTTTCGCACCACCCTCCGTTTACAAACAATATGGCCATCTCTCTGGTGTCCGGGTCTTCTCTATTCGTGGCAAGTTTGGTGACACGATCCCTTTAAGCAAGGATTCATGCAGGGCCCGAGAAGTCATGCACGCAAAGTTGGCTGAAAGGGTTGGCCGATGGGGACGGGAGGTCAGCTACGAAGTTGAATTCTACCAACCTGATATTCGTAATGGCGTTGTAACCTGTGCTGCACTCTCCCTTGATGGTCGCCATGTTGCGCTCGGGTTTGGCAGCGGTGTCATTGAAGTTGTCGATATTGACCATCAGCGTACAATCTGCCAATTGCAGCACAATTCAGCCAATCTCCCTGACTGGATTGAATTTGTCCATGGCAGCCACAGGGTTGCTACCGAAGATATTGATGGGAACGTCGCAATCCTCGGCCATGGCATAGCCCCTGTGAAGCTTGGCAATCTTCCTTCTGGTCTCTATCCTACTGGAACCGCCATCTCAGATAATGGATTATTTATCATACGAGCTCCACGAAATTTCAATAATCCTTGGTGCGATAACATGACGCTCATATCCGTCTCTGAGCATCCTTTCATTCAGGCCCTCACCTCTCCTTCGTGTCAGGGACTCGTCCGGGGTCGAGGGGGTCCGGGTATAGCGTCCGGGACCGAGAGCCTGGCGGGGGGCGGATCGGGCGTGCGTACTGACAGGCCCGATGTGGGACAGTGGTCCCTGGCCACTTAGACTGAAGTGGAAGGTTGTTATTATCATTAAAGGAGAGATATTGTACTGCTTACCTGAAGTGGAAGGTTGAGAAGAAGGCTACTTCTTCGGTTCCCACTTCAGGTTCGTTTATATACATGCGGCTTGGATCACATGATGGGTGCCACGTCACCCTCGCACACAGCCGTAACCACCTGGGTGTCTCCGTGGGAGATCCCGAGGGTATCCGGTGCAGGCGCGCGTGCTGGGCACTGTCATATCCCGGAATCCCGACCCCGCACACTCCCACCACATCACACCTTCCTAACAACTTCACCATCCCCTACACCATGCCTCCCCACTCTCCAAATCACCTTCCCTCCTGGCTGTCTCAGCTCCGGTCGGGTTGCGGCACACCGAACCTTGGCTACTCCCATCCCGGAACCTCGGTCCCGAGTCGGAACATTCGGAGACCCCGGATTTGCTCCGATATCCTGACGGACCTCCGACATCCCGTGACATGCCCTTAAACCATTCCCTCGCCCACTTCATTTATTGGAGTCACCCAACATCCTTCGGACACGCAACTCCGCTTTCGGAACTAACCGTATCCTTCGGTGATCTCCTTCACGCTATCACTTATTAGTCATCTTCCATTCTTAGCACGACTACCTTCTTACTACCATTCAGTCGGCTAACCCCCCTTCCCCATTTGTCTTCCTCATTCATTTTCTGGCCTCCAACTCCGCCCTCCTTGGCCCGACACCTCGGTTCCCCGTTTTAGATATCGTTCGGAACCTTTCGGTACCTCTCGGTATCATTCGGTACCTTTTGGTGTTTTCCCCGTTTTGTCATTTCGGGCTTTGACTAAAGTCCTCCCCATCCACTTTTATAAATACACGTAGATTAGAACCTGTAGTTCCTCAGTTCTAATCTCGACTAAAATGCCACCCAAAGTCCCTCTGAGTGATTCCTGTCTCTGTTCTACAAGACACCTCAGACATAAGAAATACAAGGACTAACAGAGACGTAACGGAGGCACAGCGCTCCCTCCGAGTCGCTGAGGCCGCGTCCTTCTTAGAGCCTCTTGTACCATCCAGCAGAACCGGGCTCCCTGAGAAGCTTCGGTTCATCACCGGAGCCCTCGGACCCCCCTCTAGTTGAGCCCCCGCCTGCATTCGGACTCACGCATTCACCCCTTCTTCCATAACCGACGGGTTTTTGACAGGCACAGCGGGAGGTCGCCCGAGGTGCCCGGGCCAGGTACATGGTGGGCGCGCTGCAGATGGGTCAATTGTACAATGATACAGAGAAAGTCGTCCATGTGGAATAAAGGGAGAATAAAGAAGGAGTAAGATAAGGAGAAACTGAGGAGGGGAGGATGAGGGGGGAAGAAGGAAAAGGGGGAGGAGGTAAGGAAGGGTGGACCAGCGGGGTACCGGGTCAGGTTGGGCCGGGTGGAGCCGGGTCAGGCAGGTGTGCCCTGACATCACCCCCCCTTAAGCCGCTTCGCCTCGAAGCGGCCAGGTGGTTCTCCCTTTCTCTCCCTGGGGCTTGGGGGTGCGTCCTGTGAAATTCTTCGATTCGGTCGGGGGCATGGGTTAGGTGGTCCCGCTGGAGCCATTGGTTTTCAGAGTTCGGCCAGCCAGTGAACTTTACCAGATACCAGAGTTTCCGGCGTAGCCACTTAGAGTTCAGTATCTTCTCGACCTCATACTCTTCCTCTCCTTCTACCAGTTCCGGGCCTGGGCGTGGGTCGGCGGGTCTTTCTGCAATACCGTCCGGGAGGTGTGGCCTGACGTTCGTCACGGACACAACTGGGTGGATTCCCTTCTGTCGGGCGGTGAGCTGGAGCTTAACGGCGGCCGGGGAGATGACTTGGGTGATCTTAAAGGGGCCAAGCCACTTGTGGTCCAGTTTCTTAGTCGGACGGTCGGTCGTGTAGTTGTAGGCATTGAGCCAGACTTGGTCACCCTCTCGATACTTAGGGGCCGGGTCACGGTCCCGGTCGTAATATCGTGCCATCTCGTCTGCTGCGTGCTCTAGGGCTGCCTTTGCCTCCTCTTGCATTTTCATCATCCTTGACGAGAATGCATCGGCGGCTTCCACCTCGGATGTGTGCGTGGGTTCTGTCCCCATCCTGGGGTGTTGGCCGGTGTCGAGTTCAAAGGGGGTTCGGTGAGTGGAGGAGTGAACGCGGTTGTTGTAGGAGAATTCTGCTAGCGGGAGCCAATCCGCCCAGTCGTCTTGGCGGTGGTTGACGAACACCCGGAGGTAGGCCTCGATCTCTTGGTTGACCCGTTCCGTCTGTCCATCCGTCTGAGGGTGGTAGGGCGTTGAAGGGGTCAGCTTGACACCTAGGAGGTCTGCGAGCTCCTTCGAGAAGCGGGAGACAAAGGCGCTCCCTCTATCGCTGAGGATCTCTTCCGGGAGCCCGTGGTGTCTCCAGACATGCTCTAAGAAGAGTCGTGCGATACCCTCCGAGTCCACAGTCGTCATGGTGGGGACCGCGTGGATGCGTTTGGACAGCCGGTCTACTACGACCAGGATGGCATTATATCCTCTGGACTCTGGGAGCTCCCCTATCATGTCCACTGAGATGACCTGCCAACGATGGGTGGGGATCTTATTCGGGGTAAGTTTCCCAACCTTTCGTGAGGGGAAGGGTTTGACGCGATTGCAGGTGTCGCATCCGCGTACATATCGCCCGACATACTCAGCCATCCGGGGCCACCAGTAGTCACGGGAGACGAGTTCCAGGGTTTTCCATCGCCCTGGGTGTCCTGTCGCCCGTGAGTCGTGGTGTAGCCGTACCAGATCATGGCGGAGCTGGGGATCTTTTGGGACATACACCCTTCCCCGGTATAGGATCAGGTCACCCTGCTTCTCCCATTCGTCCGACCTTAACGTCCCTTCACCCAGTTCTCGCATGGCCTTCACTACCTTCTCGTCATGATCCCTTGCCTCACGTATCCTTCCCAGAATACCCGCCTCTTCACCTTCTACCGAAACTGCCTCTGTCGCACGGGCTTCGAACCAGGCGGGTTGGAGAAGAGTTAGCCCCTCGTTGTCGTCTCTCCCCTTCGGGTGGTCAGCACGACGGGAGAGTGCGTCCGGCTTCCCCATGAGCTTCCCAGGGCAGTGGACGAGGGTGAAGTGGAAGCGGGAGAGGAAGAGGGTCCATCTGGCTTGGCGTCGATTCAGCCTTTGGGCCGTCCGGAAATAGCTCAGGTTGCGGTGATCGGTGTAGATCTCAACCCTCTCTTCAACGCCTTCTAGGAAGTGCCGCCACTCTTCAAGGGCTCGGACGATCGCCAGCATTTCCTTGTCGTACACTTCGTAGTTGCGTTCTACGTCCGTGAAGCTTTTGGACATGAACGCTACCGGGTGGAACTCCCCATCCGACTGGAGCTGGGAGAGGACTGCACCGGTTGCGAAGTTCGAAGCGTTGCATTCGAGCTTGAAGCGGCCGGAGTCTGAAGGGAAGGAGAGGACGGGTGCAGTGGTGACGGCTTCTTTAAGGGCTAGGAAGGCACCGTCCTCATCCGGGCCCCAATTCCAGGCTTGGGTTTTCCGGGTCAGCTTGTGGAGGGGGCATGCTTTCTCTGAGAAGTCCTTGATGAACCAGCGATAGAAGTTCACGAACCCTAGGAAGGACTGCACCTCCTTCACTTTGGTTGGGACCGGCCAGTCAAGAACTCCACGGACTTTCACAGGATCCATCGCCATGTTGCCCTCCGAGATGACGAGGCCCAAGTACTCAATCTGTGTCCGCTCAAATTTACTTTTTTCGGGCTTCAGGAAGAGCTTCCTCCTTCGCAGCGTCTCCAGGACCTCCCGTACTACCCTCCGGTGTTCCTCTAGGGTCGCGGTGAAGATGAGGATGTCGTCCATGTAGCAAATGACGACTTCCCGGTCGATGAAATCCCGAAGGATGTCGTTCATCATGGTCTGGAAGGTCGCGGGGGAGTTGCACAGGCCGAAAAACATCACCATGGGTTCAAATAACCCCCGGTTGGTCGCGAACGCTGCCTTCCACTCGTCCCCATCTTTGATCCGGACGTTGTTGAACCCCCAACGTAGGTCTAGGGCCGAAAAGTACTTGGCGTTGCGAAGGCGGGCGAGAACGTCTGAGATGAGGGGGAGCGGGTACGAGTTCTTGACCGTGATTTCGTTCAGTTTCCGATAGTCTTGGACCAAGCGCAACGACCCGTCCTTCTTCTTGACAAAGAAGACTGGCGCCCCCATTGGGGATTTGGACGGGCGTATACATCCGTTCTGCAAGTTTTCCTGTAAGAACTCGTCCAGTTCTTTCTGCTCGGGTCGCGAGAGAGGGAAGGTCTTTCCTCTGGGTAGCTTCGCGTCTGGCACCAGGTCTATGGTGTGGTCCCAGGGCTTCCGGGGGGGTAGCTGGTCAAAGGCTTCCTTAGAGAACACGTCCCGGAAGTCCTGGTAGTGCTCTGGTACCAACATCTCAAAGGGCACGGGCTCTGCCCCCGGGTCATGGGCCTCCTGGGCCATCCGCTGGGATGGCGTCGTGGTTGCTCTCAGGTCATGTCCCCACCCCGGGGGGAGGATCGCAGCATAGATCCCGTCCCCGGGCTCTACCGTGAGGTCTTGGTCGTCTCCCACTCGCGACCCCCTGCAGGAGGATGGGCAGTGGGACATGACGACCTTCTGTCGTGCCCAGTCCACCTCTGGATTGTGATGCAGCAACCACGAGTGCCCTATGATGAGGGATTGGCATCCCAGGTTTGCAACTGCAAAGCGGGCCCGTTCTGTATGTCGTCCGAACGTCAGGAGGGCTTCCAGTTCTTCCGTTATGGCCCCATTCTCGTTCGGGGTGCCATCGACATTGTGGATGGGTATGGGTTGTGGGAGCGGGGTGGTCTCGAGCCTGTGCTTCCGGACGAACTCAGGGCTTACGAAGTTCCCGGTGGCCCCTGAATCCAGGAGGGCTGACACTGATACGGGGGCGAGAGAGGTCAGGGCGGTCAACGTCACCGTGAGGTTGAGTGACCTGGGGGATTGTTTGGAAAGGACGTAAATGGCGGGTGGAGACACCGCTACTTCGGGTGTTAGCTCTGGGCGTCTCTCACTTCTGTGGGTAGAGGATGCGCTTTTCCTCTTTTTCTTTGCGATAACTCGATGGAATTTCTGCAGTGGCGTTGACTCGCGCACGTTGCGGTATTTACACGGGTTATCTTCTACAGGCGGCCAGGGCGCATCCCTCACCGGTCGCCTTCCTGAAAATCCTCTTCCTGGGGGTCTGGCCCCGTCTCTCCCTCTTCTGCCTCTGGTCCCTCACCCAATTGCCTCTTCAGCCCTTCCATCAACGCTCGTAGGTCCTCCGGATGTGTCAGGGCACACCCGCCTGA